ATAGGGAAGGGTGGAGGGCATGAAGGGAGGGCTAGGAATGGGGAAAAAATAAGAACCAAGATGCATTATGTAAAGGTACAATTCCTAATGAGAAATGTAATTGTGTTGTATACCTACAATGTACCAATAAAAGAATTTAATACAAAAAAAAAAGATTAAGTTGAATTACCAATATATCTTGATTTAAAATAATAATAGCTCCAAAGGGCTAAGGATTTTGCTCAGTGGTGCCAGCTCCTGCCTCACAAGCACAAAGTTCCAAGTTCAATCCTCAGTACCAAAAAAAATAAAAAATACAAAAAAAATTATAGCTCCATTACATTGGGCTTTATGAAAAAAAGCTCTTGTGATTTCCTATTGATGGTTATCAAATACTCACTGCCATCCTATGTAGGTTAAAAAACATGAAAGCTTCAAATATAAAGTCATAGGTTTGTTGGGGTAGCACATGGAGCTCCTGGAGCCCAGGACAAAACACTTCTATACCAAGCAATGGCTGCCTGGTACTTCTAGGCACCACTGAGGCACCACAACATCAACATAAAAGGGCACCCTGGGCATCAACACAGTGCTCAAGGTGCCATGAGCAGGCACAGAGCATCTCCTTCTACATCACAGAACCAATTTACTTCCTCCTAGAATGCCACCCTGTGAACACACTCTCCACTTACTTTCCATAAAGACCTCACAGAAGAAAACATTCCTGTATGATTCATTTTTTAAAGATATACTTAATAGAAAAATAATAATTTTGGAAGGGGTAAGGGCACTCTTCTCAAAGAGCTCTGTAATAGCTTCATACCTCAAAGCAAGGTGTGTGGCTCCACATACACTCACCAAAAGCCATGAGCAAAGGTAGTGTGGCTTCAGGAAAAGACAGAACTGCAGCAGTCCATGCTTGGTGACTTGAAGGAAAGAAAAGGCAGAACAGCCCAGAAGCTGCTGAAGCCACTGCAAACAGCAGGACTGCTTTATCACAGTGGAAGAGGGCAAAAGATCTTGAAAGCAGCCAGTGGTGGCAGTGAACAAAATTCACGATTTGGACCCTAACTGCCCAGCGCTCTCATGGCTATGCGATTTAGGCAACAGTGACGACAGAATGGACAAGGAGCTGCTGGGTAGCAATCTGTTTCTTCAATTTAAGTCCCTCAGTCACATGTATCTTCCAGTACTGCCTGCCAACACCAAGCTAAATCTGATCCAATGCATTTAGATGATTCAAGCCTTGTCTGTTTTTATGGCTATTTTCTCTTCCACTGCTAGCCTAGCAAGTCTATACACACTTCTCCCTGCTTCTCTCTTTAGATTCACCCCTTGAATTCCAGTTCCTGCTCATGAAGACCCTTCTTTCGGTTCCCAAACATGCCACACCCTCCCCAAGCCCTCTACCCAAAGTCCAGATTCTACCATGTTTCCAAAGGACTTCCATCACAACACTTACCAAGCTCAAATGCGTCAATCATCTTGTCCCAGCAGTGCTTTAGGAGGGTCACTACCAGCCACATCCCACTTCTGTACCACCTCACAAAGCACGGCCAAGAGGAAGTAGGAGTTGGAGGGGGAATATCCTTAGGGAACAGCCTACCAGCTGGTGGTTACAACCTAAGGATACTACCTTATCCCAAAGCTGTCACTTTATAGAAGACGAAGGGAAAGCGCAAGGACCGGAGTTCGATCCCTGGTACCAAAAAAAAAAAAGAAGAAGACAAAGGGTGAATCTCAGACCAACAGGAGTCATTTGGAGAAGTGATGACAAAATGAAAGGACCACAGTGTTTAGGAGTCCCCAGAGCTCCCCTCCTTGCTTTCTTAAACTCCTCACAGACACATAGCCCATAACTGAGCTTTAGCCCTTGCCCAGTACAAATTCCCAGTCAGGGAGGCTGGCATCTCTGGGAAGAACAGCCCTCAAACCAAAGTAACTAGATATCTGCAAGAGAAAGGTAATGTACTGACCATGTATGAAAGGAAGCAGAATTACTAGGACAGAACAAAAATTTAATTAACATAATAAGTATCCCCCAAGGGATAAAGGAAAAGATCAGTGATACCAACTAAGGACAAATGCTACCAGAAAAAGACAAAAGTTGAAATAAAGGACACAACAGCTGAGACAAACAGCATGATGGATGCAAAAACAGAACAGAGCACTGTAATGAAAGCCCAGAGAGAGGAACACTCCCAGGAAGAAGCAGAGACAGTTCAAAGGACAACAGCACAGAAAATAAAAGCAGATGTTCTAATATTTAGAAAATAGGGTACAGGAAAAAGAGGGGGAAACAAACATAAAAGAAAGGAAAATACTTTAAGAAAATTGAGCATTAATTCTTCAGAATTAAAAGCATATGAAGGGAGCCGGGGATGTAGCTCAGTGGTGCAGCCGCATTCCTGGCAAGCACAAGGTCCTGAGTTCAATCCTCAGTACCAAAAAAATATATATATAAAGGACCTCGGGTTAAAAGTTTATAAATGACTACAGAAGATACATAAAGACCCATATGAAAGCACATTATAAGTGAAACTTATGAACATCAAGATTAAGAGCCAATTCTAAAAGAGCATAGTAAGAGGGCTGGGAATGTTCCTCAGTAACAGAGCACTTGCCTAGTATCCATGAAGCCTTGAGTTCAGACCCTAATACTACCCCCCAAAAAAGATTAATATCAAATATTTCAATAAGACAAGGAAGCAATATTTTAAAGCATTAAAGGAAGAGAAACTTGAACATAGCTTTATCAAATATAGACTGTAATAAGATATTTCCAGGTATGCAAAGCCACTAAAGGCTTGCCACATGAAGGATCACTCTGAAAATATTTACCCAGGGAGAACTCAAATAAAAAGATAAATCTTGGGGCCAGGGATTTAGCTCAGTGGCACTGCCCCTGCCTTGCAAGCACAAGTTCAATCCCCAGTACCAAAAAAACCACGATAAATCTTGTAGGATGAGGTATATGGAAAATAAGGTAGTCAAATTGCACTAAAAAGTTTGTTGTCTAAAAATCAACAAAAATGGAAAAGATAGCAAAAATTTCAGAATTAAAATGCTAGACAAGATCACACTACATAGTTCAGGCTGGCCTTGAACTCATTATGTAGCCCAGGCTGGTCTCAAACTCACAGCAATCCTCCTGCCTCAACCTCCTGAGTGCGGGGATTATAGGCATGCAACACAATGCCTGGCTCTGTTTCATTCTTTAATGCTGAAATAAACAGCCACTCAAACAGAACGTAGAAAAGCTCTTCCAATCTATGCAGATATCTACCTGGTGCCTACTGGACCCTCTAACCTCAGATTCATAAGAGACCAAATATAATGCTGTCAATAATGAAAACCTAAAGGGAAAAGCCATTAGGGAATGGCACACTCACTATTTCCACAGCTGTGAAGGAGGCCTACCCAAGCCATCAACCAAAGTATACTCATTGTTAAGGAAAATATCATGGCCCTGAATTCCTCAAAAGTCCATGACTTTTTGATCTGTCATTAAAATTGATATAAAAATCAACAGGCATTGGAATGGAGTATTTCTGTCTCACTAAGGCCTGGACATTCAACTTTCAGACTTCACCTTCTCTGTCATCTGCTGTGTGACATTAAAAATACTCCCAAACTGATGTGGATGTCATGAGAATAAAACATATTTTCAAATAAGTACCTGATAGGGTAAGTCAGCCATCCTTAAATAAGTTTCCATTTTCAAACAGAATGGTGACAAACTGGGGACACCATTGTTAGGTCTTGCAAACTGATGCAAAATAATAGCATCCTTGGAGTCGATCTCTTGCTGCTTCCTGTCAAAATCAAAACAGAAATAAAGAACAATCTGCATGTGAAATGTTCATTTCCCTTAGTTCTAGAGAGGACCCTGCAGCACTGTAGTCCTAGTGGAACATGCAGCAGTGTTTATCGCAGAGGATCACAGTACTTCACCCGGAACAGCAGATGGAGCTATTTAGTATGAGAGCCATACAAACTCTGATTATCACCATGACCCAGTGGCTCACAGAAGTAACTACAAGCCATTCTTCTGTTACCTATGCACAGGGGGAATCTTCTCTGGGACAGATAACTCTTCTCCAGCTGCCAGGCACAAGGTGGATGGGTAGAAATGATATTTTGTGCTCACTACGTATGTACCACAGATAGTCCTGAGATTTTTAAATGGTATTAAACTCATTTAATCTTCATAATAACCTTATAAAATACATGTTTTATAGATGGGAAAACTAGGGTGCAGATTAACTGGCTTAAAGTCACATTGTTAGTAAATTGTAGAATCTGGACTAAACCAGGTAGTCAATGCCTGTGTTCTTGGCCATTACAGTCTCTATTGTTAAGGAATACCAGAGGAGATTCACTCTGCTATGACCCAAGTCCACAGGGAATGTGAAACTCTGAACACACTGGTCCCTCTTCTAGACTGCCTGTGCCCTTGCCTGGCCTTTCACCTGTGCTAGTAGAACATGGCTTTTGATCTCTCTCTCCCCCTCTCCCTCTCTCCCTTCTATTCCTCTCTCACTCTCCCTCCCTCCCCCTTTCTTAGTCTTTACAGGGTATACACTTTGGCCACACAGCATATATTTTAGTGCTCCTGTTTTTCTCCTTTTTTCTGTCTCAGCCACACATCCATCTTCTCCTGTGGCTACTTTTTGGGGTGAGGACAACTTTCACAGGCAATTTCAGTAGCCACCATATAGTGAAACAAATGTTAGATTCCAAATCTGGAGTCCTGGGGATAAGTACAAGCCCAGTTTCCTATCAGCCATATCACTCCAGACCTCTCCACCTTCCTTCACCTGGAGCGTGAGGATAGTACCAATTCTATATCGATTATCATTCACTATCATGTGAATTAAATAAGGTAACATCTGTAAATATTTAGTGAGCAGTCAAGTATCAAATAAGAGTAGTAAAAGTTATTCTCATCCAAAGAGATATGGCCTAATCCCCTTATGCTACAAAATGTCATCATTCCACACTGCCCTACTTACATACTACTCCTCAGGAACCTATTGCAATTTCAGTTTTTCACTCTATCTAACCATTTATTTATTCAGATAAATTTCACGCTTTTCTTTGGCCCTCCCTGAGCTTTAGGTTCTCGGGCATGAATCCCGGTAAAATTCTACACCTACTTCTACCTAAGCATGAACAAGCCCATCACCGTCCCACTGATGCTCACTTACTTCAGCACCTCCATTTTGTAAAATAAATTCTCTTGAGGAAGTTTACCACCCAAGGGTGCATTCAACTTAGAGAGCTCAGAGTGAATCATTCTGAAAATACCAGTCAAGTCAAAAAATAAAAATATTTGCTGTTTCTCCAGCAATGTTCATAAAAAAGTTTTTCATTTAGATGAAATGTGTGAGAAGTCAGATATTAAAATCAAGAACCAAAAAATAAAATAAAATCAAGAACCCACCTCAACCATGTTCCTAGAGAGCAAACTATAGACTTGACAATCAAATAACTGATTTTGTCCAGTAAAATAACTCATACCACAAAGTGGTATTTTCATGTAAATTAGAAAAGCAAAAATTTAAGAATTCATAGGAGAAGAAATAAATACAAAGTTCCCTGCTCCCTTGGCCACAACAATCTAGCTCTAACGGTTAATTTGGGCTATATCATAATAAGAATGGATGCTAATTGTATAACAACCATAAACCAATGACTCTATACACATCACACATATTAACTTATTAAATTCTGACAATGACACTAGAGAGTATTGTTATTGTTTAAATTTAGGGCATCATGCCATGCTTATACTTTACAATAGACAAGGAATCTGAAGCTCAGAGAAGTTCAATAACTTGCCAGAGAACACCAATTTGGGAACAAGTCTGTAATAACTCCAGTTCCCAACCTCTTAAGCACTTCAAAGACACCAAAATGGGCGATTCCTCTCTTTTATTAACACAGACAGTTTGACTCAGACCACTCAAGCCATTTGCCCATAACAGCTAGTGATGGCTAACCTTTATTGAATGTTTACTATAAAACAAACTGAGCATTTTGAACTGTTACTACATTAAATCAACTCTATGAGAAAGGCATTATTATTATCATCACTATTTTATGGATGAGAAAACTGAGTAATTAAGAACTTACTCTCACATCCAAGGTACATTTTGGTTAAAGACAGAATCTGAATTTAAACCCAGACAATCTGGCTCCAGAGCCTACCTTCCACACATCAGAAATCTTCTTCTAGCTTAGGATCAGAGGATCAGGTGTGGGTTGCTTTGTATACAGATTACTTTGTAAGTGGATGTGTAAAACAATGCCTGAAGAGTATAAACTGGCTACTGTAGGAAGACATTAGCGCCTACTGCCATGGCTAAGGGTCTCACAGATGCCAGCCTCTGTGTACACATGAGGAGCTGTTATTCTGTGGAGATCAGAGGTTGACCCATGGCCTGCTTTGATTCACTAAATTTTCTAGGACAGGCTGAACCAGACCACCAAAGTGCAAATGAACTACTGGTAATGAAGTCATTACTTAGCCCATTCCATTTACAGAGAACAAATTTCCAAATGCCAATTCAATTTAAGAGCTGGCAGACTATCTCCACCAGGGAAAATAAAGTAGAGGATTGGGACAGTGTTTGTTTTATGTGGAAAGAAACATGGGTAAAACCCAAAATATTCCAGAAAAGGCCCCTGCCTCCTCCAACACTCAAAACATCTGCTTTGGTTTTACTCACTGTTGAACAGCCTGATAATTCTCAATTTTATTTTCCAATCCAGAGTCATAGCTATAGACCAAGTTAAGCTGTGCAGCAAAAAGTCCAGGAAGGGCAGGGAAGAGTTTGCAACTGCCAGTGAATTCAGTGAAGTCATTTCAAGGTGTATTTTCTGTCCCAAATATTTCAGATTTTGTTTTGGTTTTTTGCCTAAACTATATAGACAACTGAAACTTAAATTTCACCTTATGTGGAATTCTCCATCTTGTAACCTCTGAAGCCTCAATCCTCGACCCTCCTGTTTTTTCCCCATTCCTCTACCCCTCTAGAAGCTGGCAGAAAATGGGGCCACTGCCACCAGCCTGTCTTCCCCAGGTGACACCCTAGTTCTCCACATTTCTCTTCCTCTTCCCCTAACAAAACATTTCAAAATGGGCACTTTCCAGGAGGTACTGGTAAAAAGTATAGACTTGTGTGTGCACACACATTCATTTTCATGCTTGAATCTGGATCCTACTACTCTTACTGAGTGATCTTGGGCAAGCTGCTTAATCTCCCTCGGCCACAGTTTCCTGGTCTATAAAGTGTGGATCAAGCCTCAGAGCGATAGTCACTAGCAGCAACTGCAATCACGTGTACCAAGTACTTGTATGCAGTCTCCAGAAAATGCTCAAAAGTAGGGAACTCTTGCCTGCCTCGAAAGCGCAAGGTCCTGAGTTCGATCCCTGGTACCAAAAAAAAAAAAAAAAACCTGCCTCTTTTATAATATAACAGGGCTTCCCAATTCATCTTAAGCATTTGCTAAGAAATAAACATGAGCAAATAAAGGATTTAAGATTCCTTAACCCAAACAAGTATCCATGCTGGGGCTTGTGGTCCTCTAAATGGTGAAGGAGCTAGATGTGGGCAGAGAGCCAGGACCACACCTCCAAGAGCTTGGCCTACTCCTGAGTGAATTCTAACCCCCCTCAATTTCTGCAAGGTCATTTAATCCATGTATGAGACTCAGCCCTGGGAAGCCTTCACTCCCTCCACAGAGTGGAGAACTGCTGAGAAGCCACATGGCTCAGGATCCTCAAAGGCTTTGAACTGGAATATAATTGAGGGGGAAAAAATGATTAATGTTTAAAATACTGCACAAATGTTCTGGTTCTTTAGATAGCTTGAAACTGTACTTGAAATAGAGTTCTAAAACTACCACAAATACTGAATAGTCAAGGGAGACACTACACTTTAAAATGTTTTATTTGGTTTAACTAGAATCAAGGTACTAGGTTAAGTCAGAAAATTAAATGTATAAAATACACTTCTCAATTCTCAACTGTGACTGAATACTATAAAAGCAAACACATTTTCCCAGATCTAAATGATTTCCCACATTCTCAGACCCAAGAATATTCGGTTACAGTCAGGCTGTTACAATGCCTTCCTGGAATCCCTGCGGGTCCCTTAAAGGTCACCTGCTACTGTCTTTATTATAATCACTCGTGCAGCATGTTTCCTCTGGAGAAAGGTGGTGTGAACACATTTCTCCCTCTTCAGAAAATACTGCTCAGAAGGGACATCCTGAGCTATTAAAAACTGCTGTGCTTCCAGTAATCTTCCAGTGACCCAGGGCTCAAATGCATGGAAATTTCAACCATGAATTGATGTATCAATTAGCTAAAGACCATTTCGGTACCTTGTGGTATTACCCTACTCCAAAGAAGATCTCAAGTGGGACTGGATGTACCAACAGCAGGATTCTCCATTTTCTGGAATTTCCAAGTCAATCCTGTAAACGTTCTGCTACAGCAGATGCAACTGTTTACAGCCCTGGGCGACTCTGTGTTATGTCAAACACGCCCATGTGCTAGCCCTGCCCTGGGATCACCAGCTCACACAACAATAGCATTTAAACTGAAGACGGTGCTTAGCATTCAGTACCAGATAAGCAGATAACCAGGTGAAGGCTGCATCAAAAACTGCACACCACTATACTTGGCTGTGCATCTTTAACAGGGACCCGCAGGTTTCTGGAGCTTTGCAGTTGCAGCCTCTTGATGTTGACATTTAGGGAGGGCTACTGTAGAAGTAACCTTTTAAGTGATGAGGTTACCGATAAACGATCAAACATTTCATGAAAGTGTAACTCAATATTTCTACAAAGCCTAATTCTATTGTTGCGAATACATAGCGCTTAGGATCTTCCCAAGGACATCTCTCAACAAATTATTTTGCTCAATAACGACTAGCGACCCAGAGCACTCTGCTTCCAGCACAGAAGGGTTGTGAGGACAAATGTTTTTCCCTCCCACTACCAGTTAATTCTCCAATTCTCTCGTCAACTCTAATCTGCCCTCAAGGCCAGGTAACCGCGGAAGGCCTCTAGAGGAAAAGTAAGGGAAAACGCTTGGGCATTTGGGCAATGTGACCGAAGTGTTGGCACCGGACCCCCTTTTGTGCCATCCCTGCCCTGGCCAGGTGCCCCTCTCAGCGCCGTGCGGGGGCCCTCTCTCCGGCTCACCTAATGACCAGGAGTTCGTGGAGCAGATACGCAGCTGCGGCCAGCAAAGCTCCCCCGGTCAAGTAAAGGGTTTTCTTCCACCAGGGATCGGAGCCCAGCCCTGCCATGATCCCACCGTAATCCTGCAAAGGGAAAGCGATGATGTCCCCATAAAAGGAGAAGGGCTCCTCGGACCCGGCCCACCAGCCGAAGAAGGAGACGCTCTGGTTCCAGCTCAGATCCAACACGCACGGCCTGGACGAGGCAAAGCCAACCCCCCAGTGCATGCTGCGCGGCTGGCTCCGGGCGCACCTCCCAGGGCCCGCGCCGCGCGCATGGGAAGGGATCGGCGCGGCCGGGCGCGGGCTCAGCGGAGCGTGAGGGGCGCAGGCAGCGGTGACCCGGCGGGCGGCTGTGGAGCAGGAAGAGGAAGGGCGCAGGCCACGGACGGCGGGCCTGGCCGGCGGGGGCCCAGGGTCCTGAGCGGCAGCGGCGGCCGCCGGCTCCCCAAGCAGCGGCCTCTCCTCGCCGCTCTTTGTGTCGGCGCCTGGAGAAGGCCGCGTGATGTCATTGCTCCCCGGGGCAGGGAAACGGGCGGGATAAAGTCACCTACCCCGCGCCCTGCCCCCGCCCCGCATCTCCCCGGTCCGCTGGCCACCGCCCGGAGACGGCCGTGAGCCTCGGCGGGGGCTGGGGCTGAGGAGGCGGCAGGAAGGCGTCTCTGCCTCGAGGAGGAGGCTGCAGGCGGGCCCGAGATCTTGGTACCCCTCCCCAATCGGTCCCCGCCTCCGCTCCGGCCCCTCCCGCGGGCCCGGGAGCTGGGCCCTAGCGGGACTCACCTGGGGGGCGCGGCTCTGCGGGCTGAGGACGCCGCGGGCGGGGCTGGTGCCGAGGCCTGGATCAAGGCCGGGAGTCGGATGTCTGGCCAGTATTTGCATAGTTTATAGAAACACTCTTAGGACTTTATGGTTACCTAGGTCTTGGCGGGGTACTCAGGGAGAGGTGTCCAGCTTGACAAATAGCAACAAAATGTACTCTGGGTAGAGAAATCTTTCCTCTGATAAACCCACCATCAGTCTTTCCCCCTTTGAAATCTTTATGAGGATACTCGCTGTTGTACTATAGGTTCTGTGGATCCTCTTTATTCAGTACAGAAAATCTCAAACAATTGTGTGGTTTTGGCCCCCCAACTTCTTTTTTTGCAGTTTATAACTACGAAGAACAGGCTTGTGTTTCACAGTTTATGATGTATACACAAAAGCTAGCAAACACAGGCAGTTCTAAATTGTTTAGAGGAACTGAACACATGGGGGTTCATCACTCATATGGTGGAAGGATGAATTTCGGAAATTTTGCCTGAGGCAACAGAGATTGGGATGAAAGCAGCTCTCCTTTCCTTTCTACTTCCCCCACTGTACCAGCCCTAGAGAACAAGCAGGCAGCATGGTCACGTCCTTGATAAAATATCAGCAAGCTGTTAGCCTCAAGGAGATAGGGAGGAGGGCCTAGCCAGGCTGTGCCTAAGCACCAGCAGCAGTCAGGGGCACCAGTCACCCCTGGGAAAGAGCATATATGGCCTCTCAGGAAGCTGTAGTGTGTTCCTACCAGGGGCAGGTTTCCAAAGTGGAACCCATTGGAGTGGCCTAGGTGATCACCACACTACCTTCCAGGCAGCGGGGCCAGGCAGCTGCAGGGCCTTGCCCACAGGAAGCAGAGTAGGGGAGGCTGAGATGCTGGGAAGAGGGCACCAGGAGGATGGTCACCAAGGGTTCTTCCTGGTCCTCCTGTGCCCTCCCCATGTAGCACTCAGACTTGGCTCTCTACCGACATGTAGAGAATAAAATGTAATATTCTTATATCAAAACAAGCTATATTAGATAAGTATTTTCATTCCAGTTTTACAAGTGAGGAAACTGAGACACAGGGGCCAATTAACTACTCTAGTTGCTAGAACCAGGGAATGACAGAGCCAGGATTCAACCCAAAGAACATCTCATACCAGTGACACTGTGGGCTTTCTGCCAGCTATCTGGTCTCTCACACCACACATGCCCGCTGGAGCACTGTCCATGGTATTCTTTCCTTACACCGTCTGTGGCTCCATCCTGAACTATGTCTAAATCAAATGACTTCAAAACTTCAAATGCCTGTGACTTACTCTGTCACCTTTTGAGAAAGATATCTTCAGAAAATTCCTTATGCAGTTATTGCTACTCCCTGTGTCACATGTTTCTGCAGCTTGCCAGAACAATTAGGCATGGAAAAATCAAATCAGTTTTCCAAATTTTAAAGTGCCTGTGTTTCACCTGGGATATGCCATAATGATCAAACGAGGGACAATTAGATCAGTGCTTCTCAAACATTTCTGTGATCTTCTTAAAATGCAAATTCTCTTTTTTATTTATATTAGTTCATGTTTTTAGTACATAATGATTACTTTCACTGTGGGGAGTTGGTACCTGTACAAAACATCTTAATTCTTTTTATGTCCACTCCCCTCCCCAGCCTCTCCTGTCCATCTTTTAAAATGCAAATTCTTTTTTTTTTTTTTTTTGGTACCAGGGATTGAACTCCGAACCTTGTGCTTTTGAGGCAGGCAGCACAACAACTGAGCTAAATCCCCAGCTTAAAATGCAAATTCTGACTAAGTGGTTCTGAGATGGGCCTGGGATTCTGCATTTCTAATATAATTCCAGTTGAGATCAGGTCAAACTTTGAGTAACAATTCTCTGGTTTACCAGGGAGATCATGAAGTGTGGCCACTAACAGCATCCCCTGTTGGGTGGTTTCTAATCAATGTAGTCAAGTCACTATCTTGTTATTATTGTGGCCATGTCATACAGATTAAAGGATTGAGACAGTTAAAAATCAGAAACCTGATGTCCAAGTGCTGAGAGGGAGGAAGTCACGAGACAGGAGAGAGGTGAGTGGATGGAGGGAAGAAAAGAGAAGACAGGAGACCAGTAATAGGTGATTTATCTTGCTTCTGGGACCCTGCCTGGGCAATTAACAATGTCTTGGAACATTTCTCAGGTACTAATACAAAGAGCATAAATAAATGAGCAAAATAAAAATTTAATTCACACTGGAAATTTTTTTACAATGATATTATACTTCATGTTTTAAAATATGGCTTAAGAGATGTAAGGCCTTGTTGCTATGAAAATAAGTGGGTGTGATATTGGTACTATTTCTGACTTCACATAATTAAAGTTATGCTATTTCATTAAAGTATCTTTGTATTATTCAAAAATAAACAATTTGCTTAATAATGGTAAGTGAATTTTATTGTAAAGCTTCTGGTTTTTCTTTCTTACTTTTTGGATTGATTTCTGGAGAAGAGATCTAACATTACCCTACTCACCTGGGAGACATAGACCTTGAATCCTAACATTATAGCTAGAAGCCACTCTGTCACAAGGAGGTGACTTTGACTATATTCTTTCTGATCCACTGGACCAGAACATTTTATAAATCATTAAGCAACTATGAGAAAGCATGTGCTGTAGATTAACTTAGTGCTAAGAAAAGCTCTACAAATAATAACCAGACTCAGAGGAGTGAGGAGGCATTGAGAAGAAGAGATTAGGACATTTTGAGTTTGGACAATGTATTAGTTTGCTAGCACAAAGGACAGAACTCTGAAAATAATACATTTAGCAGATGGGCAAAGGAATACACTGAGAAGAACAGAGGTGGGAGAGAGGCCAGACAGGTATTGGAGCTGTGAAAGTCAAGGGAAGAGAGAGTTCCAAGAAAGTGCAGGGTGGGATCAATAGACTCATACAATCCTAAAAACAAAAGTAAAATGAGGTGAGCCAAGAGAGCAGAAATCACTAATCTTGATGGATACATTTTGCATTGCTAAAACAAAAGACAAAGATAGGCTAATTTTATAAATAAAAGTCATTTATTTAGCTCACAGTGTTGGAGGCTGGGAGTCCAAACAGCATAGTACTGACTCTGGTGAGGACCCTATGCCACATGGCAGGAGAATTTCCAGGGGGAAGGGATCACATGTGTTTTTGTTGCTTTGTTTTCTTTTGGGGAGTGTTTTTTGTTTTGGGGGGGTTTTTTTTGACAGAGTCTTCTGGGTAGCCCAGGTTGGCCTCAAACTCACAGAAATCCTCCTGCCTCAGCCTTTCTAGTGTGCACCACCACAACTGGCTAGGATCATATCTTGATAGGAAGCCTAGGAAAGATTGAGGAGTCAGGCTCAGGTGTTCTTTGTTTTTTGTTTTGTTTTGAGACAGGGTCTCACTATGTAGTTCAGGCTGACTTCAAACTCTTGGCAGTCCTCCTACCTCAGCCTCCCAAGTGCTGGGATTATAGGCTTTTGCCACCATGTCCAGCTAGGCTCAGGTTTTTATAATAACCTCATTGTTATAATACTTTATTGTTATCAAATGGGGCCAGTAAACATGCATTCTCTTATATGAGAATTCCAAATCAGAAATAAAGAGCAAAATAAAATAGATAATGGAAAACAAGGAGACATAATTTTGCAGAAGGGGTGAGGACCAAGAGATGGAGGGAGAGGAGTAGAAAGAGACAAGAAAGGGATGAAAGAAGAGTTAAAATGTACGAACTCCTCACGAGGAATATATTCATTATGTACTGCAAGTATACCAAGAAAAATAAAAATTAGAAATGAAAGCAAAGTCCATTAGCAAAGAAGTTATGGAAGGAAAAGTTAACATTGATTTCAAACTGCTAGGGCTTCTGCAACTGAGGAGAAGGTCGGCAGAAATATGGTGTGTGAAAAATGTGAAAAGAAACTTGGTACTGTTATCACATGGAAAGATAATACAAAGAATAGCATAAGAAAGTGGTGGGGGAAATGAAAAGAGAATAAACCCTGACTTCAAAAAAGGGCAAAATTCCACCACCTGCCCCATGAGCACCAGGACCCAAGTTCAATCTCTGGTACCAAAAAAAAAAGGGCAAGATTCAATCTATATGAAAAGAATAAGCCACACCATCATTTTTTTTGTATTGTTTTTATTTTTTGCTTTTGAGTCCTCACTGATATCATCCTTACCGGAATAAGGTTAAATCACAGTGTTGTTTTAACCTGTATTTCTTTAATGGTCAGCAATGCTGAACACTTTTTATCTATTTATTGGCCATTTGTAGTTCCTCTTCTGAGAACTGTCTATTCATTATGGTTGTCCATTTTTAATTGGGTCTTTTATTTTGGGGGTCTAATTTTTTGAGCTCTTTATTTATTCTAGATACAGTAATGCCCAATTCATGAATGCTTCTGTGTGCAAACAATTTGGTTTTC